GGCAAAGGTAAGGCGACACCCGTGGGGATACCGTGCGTGAGGCCGCAAAGTGATATGAGGTGTTACCGGCTAGATCGATGTGACATCGAGTCGGGGTCCTGACACCCGGCGCCTCCAAGAAGCGGCGACGCGGCACCTCGTCCGGCGACGATCCTGCCCCGCCACTACCGCGCTACTCCATGTGCGTCTTCCTGCCGGACGCGCGCGACGGCCTGTGGGACCTCGTCGGCAAGATCGCGTCCAGCCCGAGCTTCCTGCGCGACCACCTGCCGGAATACGAGGTCGATGTCGACGAGTTTCGCCTGCCCAAGTTCAAGGTCTCCTTCTACGGCAAGCTGTCCGGGGTGCTTGGGGATTTGGGACTCGTGGCCGCGTTCAAGGCCGACAAGGCTGACCTGACTGGCATGGCGCCCGACGTCGAGGATACCTCTGGGGACATAAAGCGGCTGGTGCTCAAGGACGTTTTCCACAGGGCGGTGGTCGAGGTGAACGAGGAAGGCACGGAGGCGGCGGCAGTAACCGTCTGTGAGGAGGAAGATGAATCGGCCTGTCAGCCGGTGGATTTCATCGCCGACCATCCGTTTGCCTTCTTTGTGATCGAGGAGGTGTCCGGTGCCGTCGTCTTCGCCGGCCATGTGCTTGATCCTACAAAACACCAAGACACATTACACGACGTGGATTAGAAACTCGACTATATTTTGTATCTCCAATAGCCACCCGCCAACTAATGACTCAAGCTTGTGAATTTTTATTTTGCCGAAGACTGGGAGTTTAAACTGGATTGACTATTCAAAGAGAGAAATGAGTAGGGGAATATGGACTATTACTATTCATTGCTTCGAACCCGATTTTTATCCGACGAACAGGAATCACTTGAGGCCAAATCAAACGGCTAGAATCGCATCAAGCTCGAAATCGAACGGCTAGAGTGTCCGTTGCGCACCCAGTCGTGTCAAAGGTGGACACAATTTTTTTAATACAATATATACCGTCAAAGTCGCTCACATACACGAGCATATATATACACCCATTCCTAGGCTATAATCACACACACACATACCCTACCCCCAATTGAGCACCTCCAAGAGAATGACCGGCACATCATCTTAAGATTGACAAAGTCATCAAACGCGCTTCGTAGTCGAGGGAAATGTTTTCTTCCACTTAATGAACATGGCCGGAAAGATTGAAATAAATCCAAAGAATGCAAGCACCAATGTCTAAACCCAAGGATTTCACAAATCAAAGATAAAGGATTTCAGAACAAGTAAACACAATTTTCAGTTGTCTCAACAACAGAGTTGGACTAGAATAAGGAATAAAAGTCAATTCATTCGAAATGAGACAAAGAAAAGAGTTTAAAGACGACTCAAAATTTTGGGAAGGATTTTGCCATCGAAGTTTGTCAGGCAAAATTAGCCCACTTTTAAGTCTAGGATTTGAAAACCTAGTGGACTGGGGATACCACTATCCTCCTACCAACCTATCACAAGTTGGACACAAATTGGAGAACATAAAGGGTAAAGGATGTCGATGGGAGGGGGTGAATGGGTGAGTAGGCGACTACCAACCTATGGTTGGGTGCTCGCATTTTTATGAATTTATTTCATGCTTTTTGGCAATGTGTATTCAGTGGGAGGAGATATCCCCGCCGGCTATGAAGGTGTTTGTGATGACTTCGTCAATCTCAAGATGATACGGAGACTCAATTTCTTAGAGGTGCTCATAGGTGTATGATGTGCGTGCGTTTATAAAGATGAATGTATGTACGCATATATAAGTGTATGTGTATGTATTATGTCAAAAAAAACTATAAATCTTAGAGAATCTTAATCTTCTTTGTTGATTTTAAGAGTATGGAAAGAGTGTCGATTTTCACGTTCGAGTGAAAACGGGTTAACTTTCACATCTAAATTTCTAGCCTAAAAACATGGCAGCTATATGTACCAAACCACCGACACAAAATGTCAACCCAATTAACCTAAATTCTGTTATGTGAAAAGTTCCTCTTGTTTTCTTCCCTAATCCTAGATGGCTAGGATAAACTCTCCCCTCTAGACTTTACCTACGAGTTCATGGATTTGCCTCCCCTCTGCCTGCCGCTTTGGAGCGTGGTGACTTAAAGTGTCTGTTGCTCACCATAGTCTGCATCCGTTCCTGGACTACCTTCCAAGCTCCACGCCGATGCTGGAGCAAACGTCGTCGCAACGACAGAGCCCGAGGATAAAGGTCCACCACGAGGATACCGCCGTCGCCACGCCATCCTTGCTTGTTAGCGTAGTTGCCGCACCTACCTGCTCATCATCCCTGTACATTCTCTCGTGCGATGATGGTGAACACAGTTGAGCACGGTGAATGAATACGGTCGAAAATAGTTGCAGTTGCAGTCTTTCTCGTGCTATCTCATCTTACATTCTCGACCAGCGTCTCGGCACAAGCAGCTGAGACCGGTGTGCTCGCTTGAACATGGCCATGTTCCCGTTCACCGGCATGCACGCGCAGCCGCACAGGCCTTAGCTGTTAGCTCGACAACATGGACACCATGATAAGCACGGCGAAGGTTCACACATCTAGACCTTGCCCCATAGCGATTCGCCTTGCCGGTAAATATATTGTAGAGCATAGATTTTAGGACACCCTCTTATCTAACCACTCATCTTTGCCTTGCCACCGGCGACACGTAAATGATACCCATGATGGCGACGGCGCCGAGGATGTGCACCGTCAGAAGGATGGCGACGTCGACAAAGAACTGCGACACTACAACGTCGCGCCTCAACCTCGTGTTGTGCAAGTAGCCCAACGGCTTGCGAAAGTGTTGCGTGCATGCGATTTAAGTGTGTTGTGTGCGTGTTAATTAAATATGCATTCAAGTGTGCTGTATGCGTGTTCTGTGAGTACATATTAAAACGAAGTTGTGTGGGCACAGTTGTGTGCGTACGTGGGCTTCAGCAGATGATCGCTGGTTCTCCTGCCACGCATGGCATTTTTTAATTGACAGATGGGGCCCACATAGGTAGAGGGAGGGTGTTGTGATGTTTGACCAGTCAACAGAGAAAAATACGTAGCTATACGGTGACCCAGTGACCGTATAATCACCTCAAGTTGTATATAATGATCGTATTGACTGTATTCTTAAGTACAGTGACTAAAGTGAGCTTTTGACACAAGTTTAATGACCGCGGGTGCATTTTACTCTTTCTTTTAATACAATACAATCGAAGTCGCTCACATACACGAGCATATATACACCTATAAACACACACACGTATATCTTACCCTTACTGAGCCTCTCCGCTCCGAAAAAATGACCGGCACATCATCTTAAGATTAACAAGTCATCAAACGCGCCTCGTAGTCGAGGAAAACATCTCCTTTCACTTAACGAACATCGCCGGAAAGTCTGGAATAATAAATCTAGAAAAAATATGAGCATCAATATTAAGTCTAGGACATGAACCTTGATGGACTGGGGGATACCGCTGTCCTCCTACCAACCTGTCCCAAGTTGGACACAAGAAAAACATAAAGGATAAATGATGTCCATGAGAGAGGGTGATTGCGTGAGTAGGCGACTACCAATGTATGGTTGGACGCTTGCATTTCTTTGAATTTATTTCACGCCTTTCGTCCAATGTTCGCTCGGTACCCAAAACCCAGTAATGCTACACTTACGTAGAGATAGTTACGTACTTCACGTAATTAGCAACGTGGCTAATGATTATTGGGGAAGGGGGAGGAAGGGCCCCCACCCACCTGAAAATCAGGCGGGGCAGAGAAGTATATTTAGAAAGATTACGTAAACCCTTTCGTAGCTGTATGTGGATATATAATTATCGCCCAAAACCTAAGCTTGGTTGGAGGGAGTGGATAACTGCCCAATGCGTGAAAGTTAAAGGAAAAACTGCCAGATCTCAGAAAGAGAAAAAAGATAGTGCCGAATGCACGGTACGCATTTCTTTCGGCTAAGTTTTTTTACCGGTGGAGGGAGGTACCGGTGTAGAATCAGCCACAAACATTGCTTTGAGATTGGTGTGGCTAGTAGACCCCACTTTCTCTCTTTTAGCAATACCAAGTTTAGGCTGGTCATAGTGGGAGTAACATAGGTAGTAACATAGATGCCACATAAGTAAAAATGATGATGTGGCAAGTAGTTAATGAGGAGAGAGGCAAATAGAGTAACATAATATGTTACCATCACATAGCGGTTTCCAATGCATAATGAGTCTATAAAGTAATAAATGAAGGCAACTATGTTACCACACCTATGACACTACCCACTATGAAGGTAGTAACATAGACTAGTAACATATGTATGTTACTAGTCTAAGTTACTCCCCACTATGACCAGCCTTATACAAATAGATATACAGGGTTGGACGGGGTCCACAACAGTACTTTTGTCAGGTGACAGGGTGAGGAAGAGCGGATGGACGAGCTGCATGCACACACACTAAATACTTGCATTTTATTTTCCATACAACATTATAAAATGTTGATAACTTTTGAACTAAATATCCAGTTTTGAAATATTTTATATTTTTAAATTCAGGGCGGCAAGACCTTTAAAACAAGATCAATCTTGGATGCACTTGGCTAGTTTGAATTTTACCGTTTCACTCATTTCAGAGAAAGCATTTCAGTCAACTTCACATTTCACTAGTTTCGGAAAATCTTCCAGTCAATTTCACATTTCACTAGATTCAGAAAACACACTGTAATCATTTACAAAAGATAGATTTCACTCATTTTAGAAAACGCATTACACTCATTTACGAAAGACGGATATTACACTCATTTACGAAAGACAGATTTCGTTCATTCAGAAAACACATTACACTCACTCCATTGAAAATACTATGTTTCACTTGTTTCAAAAAACCTTGTCCACTCATTACAAAAGATATATTTCAAAACTAATTTCACTGTGTGCTTGCGAAATTGATATACCACTCATATAAAAATTGATTTCAATCATTTCAATAAATATATTTTACCACATTTTATAAAATAGGTTTATTTCACATATTTCTTACGAAATAGGTTTTGTTCATGCTATTTCTTTTGAAATAGGTTTCTTTTGAATATTTGTTTACTCATCCTCACAAATATGAATTTTCAGTTTCAGTAAACTTATTTCACTACAAAAACACATTTCACTCATTTCAGAAAACACATTACACTCATTGAATTGAAATATTGTATTTCACTCATTTTGAAAAATATTTTTCACTCATTACAAAAGATATACTACAAACTAATTTCATTGTGCGCTTGCAGAACTGATATTTCACTCATATAAAAATTGATTTCAATCATTTCAATAAACATATTTCACTCGTTCAAATGTATTTCACTCAAAAACTCCACTACTAGGGAAAGGCCTACTAATGGCGCACCGGTTTTGCCTACTAATGGCGCACTACCGGTGCGCCATTAGTAGCACGCCACTAGTATTTTTTACTAATGGTGCACCACTGGTGCGCCATTAGTATCTAGTGTACTAATGGCACACCAGGCAGTGCGCCGTTAGTATGTAAGACCATGTGCCATTAGTATGCCTCCCGGGGCCCATATGTAACCATGTGCTTTGTCATACTAATGGCACACTCTGCCTTGATGCGCCATTAGTATCCTTTGGCATACTAATGACGCACCTTGTGGTGATGCGCCATTAGTATGA